AGCACTTATAACCTGACCCATGCTCAACGGCAAGCAGGTCTAAGGTGGGTGTGTGCCTTTAGCACAGTCACCGCTATAGCCTGTACCTTTAGTACAATGACCGGGCACAAGTGGTGCCAACCGCCAACAATTTATTTTCCACCAATCACAATCTCATCATCACATCATCATCATCATTAGCCACACTGGCCATTGCGCAATGACCACGATACTCATCATCATCCAATCAATCAACACATAATCGCATAACAAGCAAGACACAACAATAATGACACGTATTACACATAGAATCCTAGAACGATGCCTAAAACACCAAACGAGACTCATACATGGCAACCGGGGTACAACGGGACACGGGGAAACATCAAACGGGGAAAAACACCACGAACCAAGCTGGGATTCCAGCGGGTAGGTGGCGGGTGGAGGCCCACCCGCCGGCGGCCGGGCACTATTCCAGCGGGTGGCCGGCGGGCAGACCACCACCCGCCGGCTGCCCGCTGGAATGGTGTTGCGGGCAGCGGGTGTGACACCCCAAAAATCCACATTTCAATCCATGAATTAATTGAGTAATTAATTCTAATTCTTTTGAGGAATTGATTCCTAAAATCCTGATTTTTAATACTCAAGGACTAGAATTTGACTAGTCAATCTTTAAGTTGTGTTGTACCTTGTGCTTTGAGAGGAGTTCCCTTGTTCCTTACAGTTTCTAAAGCTTAGTAAGGGTATCCTTGTCTTTTCATCAAGAGTTAGTATTGTAACCTAAACCTAGAAGACTTCTTCATTTAATTCCTTACAATCCTTAGAAAATATCTCCATCTTCTCTCTAGAAAAGAAGAGTAGCTTATTCTTCAAGCCAAGTTGAGACCCTTGTCAAGATTCCAAGTTTTGCTTCCAAGATTCAACCTTTCACCTATTTGGGCATCTAGGAGGGTAAGATCTAAGCTTGTCTAGTCTTTTTGGTTCTATCTTAGTTGTCTTTTTCTTAAAGGTAGGATCTTTATGATCTTTTGGGTTGATCTTGAAGTGGGTTTGAGAAGTAAGCTTTGTGGGGAGCTTGTTGTGGTGTAAAGTGAAGTCTTTTGCTCTACAAGAGGTAACCCATGCTCTACAAAACCTATTTTGCTTACCTATATGTGATTTCTTGGATTCTACTTGTGTTTTGCTATGAAATGTGAGGGTTTATGCATTTATCTTGTGATATTGCATATCTAGAGCTTGTGTTTTGGGTTCCTTTGTGCCATTGCTTGGCATTTTCCATGGTTCAAGTCATTTTGTTGTATTTGGTGAGATTTGGCATGTTTTAGACTTGAATTTGTGTTGGAGAAGAAAATCCCCGAAGGGATTAGTTATGGAACAGATATGTTCCCGCGGGCGGAACGGCAGGAGGGGCACCACTCGCCGGCCTACCCGCGGGTACACAGCCTCGTGGGATACTGTTCCCGCGGGTGGAACCACGGGTGGGGCACTACCCGTAGGTCCACCCGCGGGTACATGGTTGGAGTTGGAGTGGGATTTGTTCCCCGTGATTCGGTTGTCTCGGTATTTGATCTTTTGACTTCCCCTTGTTCTTTTGTGGAACTATTTGAGCGTCTTCTTGATATTTCATAGGTCTAGAACTATATGGTAGGTATCCATGTAGGCTCTTTGGTGTCTTGAATCGTGCTAAGTGTTCAACATTGTGCTTCGTTGAACCAAGAGGTGTCTTGTGTGTTCCTCGGAATTACCTTGAGTTTCCCCGTTGTTAAGCATGCTAGTTTGTTGTCTTAATGCTAGCGTGTGTGTTGTTCGTACCTTCCGTGTGGTTGATGTTAACTTGTGTTATACATCGTTGTTGTCGTTGGGTGGTGACCAATTCCTTGATTGAGTATGTTTCATACCTTCGTTGTAATCCGTTGCTTGACTCGTGTGAGTTGTTGTGCGTGTGTGGCTTTACCTGGATTGCACGATTAGTGGTATGGGACGCTAGTCACCAAGGTATTGCAGCGGTCCTCGTGGTGGCCGTGACGTGATTATGAAGCTGTGTTCCTTCGAGAAAGGTTCACGTGATTGGGGGATAACATGTGTTATCCGGGCATGTGTGCCATGTGTGTGTACGGTACCTCGTGTACTATGAAATTGGTGGTCTTATAGGCAGGTTGTTGGTGGGGGACGACGGTCCCGGCGGAATAAGGTTGGACTTGGCTGTACAGGGGTCCTGGACGTAATGGTTGAAGAAGGTATAAGGTTGGGGGTAGCCATAAGGTTGGAACAGGGCATAAGGAAGGCATATCAACTCGTGATGTGTGATGTCGCGAGGGCTTGTGTAGCCATTGTGGTGAGTTCTCTTTCTTGCGACGTGTGTAGTCACAAGGGCATGTGTTGCCACGGGTGAGTTGTATTTCCTTCGTGTTGTGGTAACCTTTGTGGTTTGGGATGTGTTCCCGGTGTTATCTTTGAGAGTGATGAGTCTTGTGTTGTCTTTCGATCTTGGCTTTTAACTTATATACTTATGTATTCCGTTTCGAAAATGGTTTTCTATCTTATATCTACCTATATATGATACTTAACGGTATTGGTGGGTTACCAGCATTATCGCTGACCGGGCGTCGTCCCATGTTTATCTTTGTATCTTTCAGGTGATGTTTAGACGAGCGCGATGTCTAGAGCCTGGTAGCTTAGCACCTTTATCTTGTGGTTTTTGTGGCCTGTGCGCCCAATGTAGTTAGATTGATGTTTTGGGATAGTTTTATACACTTGCAGATTGTTCGCCGTAGCGTTTACCGGGTTTGGTAGACGTGGCATAACACCCCGTTGGATTTCTTTTTATCCATTTTTCGTTTTTATGTTCCGTTGTGCTAGTTTTGTTGTTTAATCTGCATGTGTTGCGGGGCATTAGTGGTGACTTCCAACAGAAGGTTGAGTGTTGCGGGGCAGAACTGAAACGATGGGGTGGGGATTATTTTCGAACGTTTCGGTGCAAGGTGAGACAATTGCAGTGTTCTCTAAATGGGTTAAGGAGTAGCCAACTTGCGAGTGATGTGGAGCGGTTCCAGAATATGGAGGATGAGCTGCGGAGGTTGCTCGCTCAGGAGGAGGTGTACTGGAGGCAGCGGTCCAAGCAGCTGTGGCTTAAAGAAGGTGACCTCAATACAAATTTTTTCACAAAGCAGCGACGAGCAGGTGGGGCAATAATTTTTTGTGGCGCATTCAGGATAATGAAGGACGTTGGGTAGAGGGGCAAAGTATGAACACGGAGATCCTAAGGTACTATGAACATATTTTTCATTCTGCATCCTGTGATGACAGTATACTCCGTAGAGTACCATGTCGTATTACTCATGACATGAATACTCAGTTGCTGCGACCAGTGGATGCCGAGGAGATAAAATGGGCTCTTTTCTCTATGTCCCCGGATAAATCCCCGAGGCCTGACGTGATGACCCCGACTTTTTATCAGTCTTTCTGGTCGATTGTGGGTGCTGATCTTACCCGGTTTGTAATAGATTGTGTTTCCACTTGTACTCTGTGTTGGTCCCGATAGAGTGTAGCGAGAGTCTAGAGGGGGGGGGGGGGTGAATAGACTCTTTTCGTGAAATGCCCTAAAAGTCACCTTTCGGTGTTTTGGCGCAGCGAAAATGTCAAATTCGTTTGTTCGCTTTGCACGAGTTTACGATATGAGTAAAGCTTTCGGTAAAGGTGATAATGAGAATAATATGAATGCAGAAGGAAAATGCGTAAGTAAGGAGATAGAGGGGACAAGAGATTTTATAGTGGTTCGGCTAACGTTGCTTACTCCACTCTTCTTCCACAACTGATGGAAGGATTGCACTATCACTCTTTAGTACAATTACACAAAGACCTCCTTGATCACTAAGCCGGACAGCCTTCGTAGGTTTTTCAACTCCTCGAGTTTACTCCGCCTCTATCAACTTCTTCTTCAGAGTTGAGGTTGGTAGAAAATGATTTCTTGATTTCTCCAACGTGATGAAGTCTTGACTGTGAGAGATGATTGCTTCGTACAAATGGCAAGACTTCTTTAAGGTGTAAGTAAATGATCAATAACCTTCTTCAAGTAACTTAACACCTTAACACTGGTTCACAAAAGCTTTTAGAGATTTGAGAGCGTTCAAGAGCTTTTGCAAGTAAATGAGTCGAGTGAAAAGAACCAGCACCTTCTTAGTTGATGAAGGTGGGTTTATATATGTGATGAAAATTCATCCGTTGAAGAGAGATGAAATTTTCGAACCTTTTAACCATTGGATAAGGACCGGGGAGCTCCATGCATTAAATGCTCCATTAATGAGGTTGTACCATGTAGCCGTTGAAAGTATGGGAAGCATTAGGGTTTTGTCCTTTAGCTCCAGGAGATGTACCTCTTTATTTAATGCTCCTTGGTAATCGTGTCCCCATGAGATCCTTATTGTCCTAGGGTGTTGTCAAATCAGACAGATAGAACATTTTTCTCGTTGTTGAAGAGAAGTAATGCTTGGTAAGAATCGTCTTTAACAAAACTGTCCTTTCGTGGTAGTTGACAATTCCTGCTTGACTTTCGTTGTTGTTCATCATGCTTTGTGTCTTCTTTCGTCTTGGAGACCCTATCAACTAGTTATAACTCATTTTCGTGTGTTTGTCTAGCTTAACACGAATTACAGGGGAGTTATGGCAACTCTTGTCTAGGACGAAAGCAGCGATCGAAAAAGCTAATAGTTAGGGGTCTACTTTCTACATTACATTGGTATCATCAAAATCCTAATACAAGGTTCCTAACAATTTCCCCCTTTTTGATGATGCCAAAACCTATACCCTTCTTGTAAGGCTGAAAATGATTCCATAAAGAATTTTTCTATTATAAAGCAGCCTTACGTGAGAGTGTGCAAGTCTCTTCTAGGATGAAAGCAGTAACAAGTAAGACAAGGACAAATAACTCAGACAAGTGACACGAGATGTGTGACAATGAGAGTTTCATATTAAGATAGTGAGAATTACAAAAACTTTATGATGAAAACAGAACGAAAGATATCTTACATTTCTAAGAGCTTTGACTTCTGTTGATCAGCTTCCTTATGTTCTTTGTCGTCTTTTTCCTTTTGTTGCTTGAGAATTCTTTTGAAGTCTATTTCCTCATTGATCTTTTTTCTGAAGATCTTAATCGGATTCGTCTTGACAAGATCTTCATGTTTTCCTTTGATATTTAAGCTTGTGTAGTTGTTATAGACTTCACGAATGTTTCTTCCTTCGACTATCCCAGCTTTCCACCACGAAATTAGCTGAAACGAATTCATTCCTTCTTGATAACTTTTTCCTGACTCTTTGTGCACTTTGAAAGCTGCATTGTGAATAACACTTTGTGGAGAGTCTTTGGTTACACTAGAAAGATCTTCGATGAGATTCCTGATTCTTTCTCTTTCCTTTGCTTCATCCTCTCTTCTTTTGATTTCTTCATCATGCTTCTTCCACAGTTCTCTGTTTTCTCTTTTGATCCTTTCGTTTTGGGTGCTTATGTGATCTTGCCTTGTGTGATTGTCTCTTGTTTTAAGCCAGGTAGGAACGTTGCAACCCTCAAAACGTTTACCACTTCCTTCTTCATAGGGAACAAAGTCCACAAAGTTTCCTATGCCATCCATAGTTACTTTGTTGTTCTTCATAAGTTTCTGCCTTAGTTTCGTCTGTTCTCTCTTGGAGAAACCCGTGAAGATGTACTTGGCTTCAGAACCAAAAGATTGGCGAGGCTTAAGTGATCTGGATTGGTATCGACCATGGTATCTTGGCTTTGAGGAATGGTGACCACGAGACCTTGATGGAGGATGGGATGGATTTGTGTTTCTTCGGCCAGAGTCTCTTGGTGTTCGAGAAGGCGAGTGTCTTGCTTCTGGAGACTGATCTTTCGTGTTATTTCTCGGATGATCATCATCCTTATCCTTGTCGTCATCTCTCTTTTCCCCCTTTTTAGCATCATCGGCACAAGTGGTAGGAGGAATAGTGGAAAGCTTACTTACTGCTACCAAGATGTCCTGGGCATATCCGAGAATTTGAAGAGCATATTCTCCCAGTTGGTATGAGTTATCTTGATAGGTATCGATTTTTGTGCAGGCTAGGTCAACACGCTCTTTTAGGCCGAAGTGAGAATGTTTGAGTTCGTGTTGTTGCCGTGCAACTTTTTTCATGGTGGTGTCAAGTTCATGAAGTTTCTTCGCAATTCGCCCAAGGAACTTGTGATCTGATTGAGTGTGTTGCGACAGTTGAGGCTGTTCTTGAGGTGGAGGCTGAGGTTGAGAATTGGGCAGCCATCAGAAGATCGACCTTCTTGCATAAATCATCTAAGACTTTCGTGTCCTTTTCTCGTAGAACAAGATATTGCAAATGAATGTTCTCGGCTATATGAACAGTTTCTCGCATGTGGTTCATAATAGTCCGTGGGGACTCTGGAGTTGAATCTTCTACAATGTTGGTAGGCGATGTGTCCATTTGTTCATCCTGAGGTGGTGCTTCCCTTTTTCCACCACTTGCTGAGCTGAGGAGAATAGGTGAGGCTGCCAGTTTTTCCTCAGTTGCTACTCCACGTTTAATAGGAGTTTTGTCCACAAGTGGAATATGTGGAACAATCGCACGAGACAAATCTTCGGGATGATCGTTTGAAACCTGTTGATCTTGGTGTGAAGCTTCTTTCGGGTCATCACTGTCAGAGGGTAATTGTCTTAGAAGAGATCTTTGAGGAAAGGTATCATAATCAGGACCGATCAATATTGGATCACTGTCTTCGGGATCGGCTTCTTGGACACCGGCATTACCCAAATTATAATCGTTGTCATTGTCATCATCATCGTCATCATGTTCATCATCTGCATCTTCAACATCATCGTCATCATCATTTTCATCTTCCTCATTCATGTCACTTTCGTCTTCTTCAATTTCACGTCCATGCTCATCTTTCGTGCCACTGACATTGCAATTTGGATCATTCTGGTGTTCCATTTCTAAAGTGGTCTTGATCTTTGATAGCAGCATGGCATACCGAAGTTGCTTCATTTCTTCTTCCAAAGCCGGATCTAATGGTGGTTGGTTAAGTTCAATGCAGATTGGAGCTTTGTCTTTTCCTAGAGTGCGATTGGTCATCTTGTAGGAGAAAACACGTCTTATTTCTTCAAGACGAAGTGTTTTGTAGACATCATCTATACCAATCCACTGCAGTGCAAATTGTTCTTCGTCTTGCATGGCTTCAAAAGTTTCAACAAATGTGTTTAATGGGGCTGTGCGCCACTTTTGCCACTGCATAACTCATTGATAATCACTTTCAATAGATGCTCGGAGTACTTGATCTGGTGTTGGTGCTTTGGGAGCTGGGGCTGGTTCTTTCGGAATGGCTGGAGTTGCTACTGTCATCACAGCTGTCTCGTCTACCAATCCAGGTTCTTGTGTCAGAATTACCTGCTCTGTATTGGTAGGTTCTTGTGGATGAGACGAAACATCAATCATTGCAACAGTTGCTTCTTTCGTCTTGTCTGGTGAACTAGGTTCTTGTGGAAGATTTAAGCAACTGGCCTCCATTTCTACATTAGCAGGTTCTTGTGTCAACCCGTCAAGGTGTTGCTCTACCAAAGTAGGTTCTTGTGGATGGGGAACTGGAGAGGAGATATGACCAAGTTCTGGTACATGAGGATCTGAGAATTTTTCTGGTGAGGCAACTTTCGGTTGATATTCCCCCTGGAGAGGTGCTTATTTCGTGACCTCTTCCCCCTGTGGAAGTGCTTCTCTTGTGTCTACTTCTTTCGGTGTAGTATGTTTCTTTGGGGAAAACTTTGGCTTGACAGGAGACCGAAAGTAACCCTTTTTGCCGAGTCTTGAAAGAGTCATATTGTCTTCGTCGGATGAATCTTTTACAATGATTGTTTCTGGTGGTGGAGTAGGTGGAGTAGGATCTGTCTTCTCTTGAGGAGATTTTGGAGAAATTGGAAGAGGTAGAACAACATCTGTCTTCTTTGCCTTAATCAGAGAGGAGTGCTTCTCTCGCTTTTGTCGTTTAGGTTTAGGTTGATCATCCTCTGAAACCTTAGGAGTTCTTGATTTCCTCTTGGTTTTAACCAGCTCAATAGGAATCCCTAACTCTAAAGATTTTTGCTTGTCATAACCTGATGGTTTCTGTTTCATGTGGCATGCTTTCGGTCCTGGCCGGATTCCTGGGCGCATTAAAATTCCTTTGGTGACAAGAAGATGGCTGACCATAAATCCATACCCTAGTTTCTTGGCGACGTCACCAGGACTCTTTCTGTTGTAGGTGATGGTGTGGACGAGATTGTTGAAGATGATCTTTGACCAATCCACCTTGATTTCATTCAGAAAGGCATGCAGCATTTTTAATTTTTCTTTTGTTACATCATCAGTTCCTGAAGTTTTGTGATCAACAACTTTGTTGAAGATATCAACTGTGAAATCATAATTTAGTCGAAACCACTTCTTCTTTAACGGCCATGAGATTTCTGTCTTCACCGGACCTTGGTTGTTCTTGATAGAGACATAGAAGTCTTCTGGATCGTGATAATAGTGGGTAAGGTTGGACATGTAAGAGTCATCTCTGTGTGGAAAACCGTATGTGGTTCGAATGTCTTCCGAGGTGAGGATCACTTCATGATTGAGAACCCTGGAGGTGATGGTCAGAGAATCGGAAGAGATGGTTGCGTTCATGTAGAACTGCGTAACATCAATAGAATGCCTAATGGTGTAAAGATGTGCGATGAATTGATACAGCCCTATTTCAGTGAGGAGTCGAATGATGTTTTCGCCAAATCTTCTATCCAAAATGTATTCAAGAAATCCATGTGCGTCCCACATGCTACCCCCGACAATAAAAGGTACTCTGGATTCAATGAACCTCAAGTCTTCAGTTGGGAAGCTTGGAATTTACAGGGTTGATGGTGTTTCTGGTTCTTTTTCAGTAGGTGAAGCTTGTGAGAGTTCCGCCATTGTGAAGGATTGAGAGAGAGAGGGAGGTATGATGGATGAGTGTGGGGGTTGAGTGAAAAAGGTAAGGTATATTGAGAAGAGGGTTTAAGTAGGGTTTTATCTGACTCCGGGTAACCGGTTATGGGTAACCCATTTTGAGATGGATTATTTGAATTTCAAAAGAGCTACCGGTTCCTCTTCTCCATATGGTAACTGATCATAGTGGGGGAATGATAAGATCGTGTGCAGATCAAATTTGATCATTCCATCATTTAATGAGGTGAGAGAAAAGCACTCGAGTGCCTACGGGTGCATTAAATGCACGTCACGTCCTGTGTCAGACAGAGTGGGATGGTGGACCTTTTTTCTCGGCCACATGATCCCCATTATGACTCATCTAAACGGTTTGGATTATAAGATAGAGATGAAGCGTCTTAGGCACGATTCCAAACCCGAAGATAGATAAGATTAACACAACATAAGATTTGTATGAAAAATAAAGTCAAACAAATCTTTTTTATAAAGACAAGGGTGTTTTTTCCGAGAGATTTATTACACAGAACAAACGTAATAATAACGATTACAATCTCTCGTGCATTAGTAGGCAAGCTAGCCTTTACTCAATGCTATCCTTCTTCTTTCGTGCATTCTCAAAATACTCCTTCTTTCGGATCTCATGAGCAAATACTTCAGCGATGAGTGTTTCGTGATCTGCCCCCATTGTTTCTATAGAGAGACCTTGTCTCTCCATGTCATCCAGTTTTGCCAAGACTTTGGCTTTAGCACCAGCGTACAGTGCACGATATCTTTCTTCGTGTTTCAGAAGTGGTGTTAGTTGAACAAGGGAGTAGAATTCTGAGATGTCTGGTTCCTTCCCAGAAGGTGAACCTTTCTCAACTGAACTTCCGAGATCATGATGAGACATTTTTTCGGACACAGATAAGTTCTCGGATGTGAGGGCCATTTCCTTCCCTTTATCCATGAGCTTATGAAAGGTGAAGAATGAGTCCATTTTTAAATGAGAAGGTCCATTAAATAGCGAGTTGGACATCTCAAAAGGTGTGTCTGAATGACTTGACCAAGGCACGCCTTAGGGAATATATTCATTTCCAAGAAGTTTGTCCTTGATTCGGGATATTGAACAGATGAGAAACGAGACAGGTAAAGTTTCGTTCACTTCTTTTAAGAGAAACAGAAACACTGAGATTTTATTATAATAACGAGAGATAGCGGTACATAAGACAAGATACATAATCCCAAGGATTAATTTTTCTTTCTCTCGACTTTCTTGATCTCAGATGGCTTAGCTTGTGCCTTTTTCAGATCACCCCACATACGCCTATACCACTTCCCGGTACGAGGATAGTTCGATCCTGAAGATGATTCAGGTTCTTCCCCCTTAGCATATGCCTCCTTTTCATCCTCTTGTTTCAGATAGGCCATATAGTCCGGATCATAGAACTTGCTGGGATCCTCTGGGGTTGCCTGTGTTCTTTTTGAAAGACTTTCTTCATTTTCAGATTTTTCAACAATATAGGCAGCCATCTCATCATATTGAAGAGATGAGTCGGAATCAGAGAGAATGTCTAGTGGTACTTGCGGACTGTTGCCAGGATAAAGGTCTCCTTGTTCCTCCCGGATCTGCCTAGCAACCTCTCTCAGTTTGTGAGAGTCACCTCTAGTGAAAGGTTTCTTTGGAGACATGGTGAGGAAGAGAATGATGAAGATGTGAAGAATTCACCTCCTTTTATAGCAGGAGATCTACAATGTTCATGTGTCAGTTACACATATTTTTCAACGTAGCAATTAATGCTCATAAATTTCTTCAAGGAGTTATCAATTCCAGGCAAGACTTTGACTGTGAATATTCGACTCTTTATTAAGCATCCTCCAACTTCAATGTGCTTATTTGTCAGATAACTCATAATGATTTATGGCCCCTTTTTGACCAGATTTTATTTGTGTGATGAGTTTTCCTGTGACTTTAAACAAGAATCTGACAAAGATAAACATAGTCAAGAAATGCATTTATTCTAAGCACGAAAATAACACTTTTATTAAATCTTAAAAGAGAAAGAAAGGGGGGTTCCAAGTCACGAGAGTACAGCACACAACAATTTAGAGAAAACGATAGGGCACGTGAAGTTCCAGATGTGTCATCTCTTCGGTCACATCAGGCAGATTTGCCCTTTTTGCATATTCATCCAGCTCCTCAAGTGAGAGAGTG